CAGTAACTTGAATACATCAGTATTTCCCTCCATAAACCTTAAATTGTGTTAATCATTTCATGTTTTCCTTATAGCTTTGCCACCTATATATCCATGAATAATTTTTACACTTTATTCAAAAACTCTATAAATGTAATCATACTAAATTATTCTGTATTTAAAAATCATTAATTTTTCACTAGTTTACAGTATTCTATTACATGGACATATCTAAAGACATGAGCTAATATTAGTCCAGATTGGGTAGGCTATGCTGAGGTAATAACCCTTAAGGGAAGGACAAAAAGAGAAACAGAATTTCCAGGATCAAGCCCTAGAGTATGCCAACTTTTAGAAGTCATGTAGAGGCAAAAGAGCCAGAAAAGAAGGTCAAAATGGTTTGGCCAGTGAAATGGAAGGAAAATTAGGAGAAAGTGGTACCACAGAAGTATGGAAAAAATAGTATTTCAAACAGAAGAGTGTGGAATACTACTGAGAGTTCAATAAAATAAGGATAAAGAAGAATCCATTGGATTTGACAACATACAGGACCTATGGTGACTTTATCAGGTTAGTTTTGGTGTAATGGTGAGAGACTGAGGCCCTATGGGAGGCTGTAAAGACAAAATGGGAAATAAGGAAGTAGATGACAGCACATGTGAACAGCCATGAAAGGAAGCAGAGAAATGGCGAAGTTGGGATCTGAGAGGTGGAGAGATTTTTAAAATATTATGAACACTACAATGTTGTGTATGCCATCAAGAATAATCCTAGAAAAGCCAGTTGATAAAGCAAAATGAAGGCATAGCCCAGAGAGAAAAGGCATTGAGAAGATGAGAGAATGGGAGTCAGAGAATAAAGGAAGGGAACAGACTGTCACAGGAAGAGGGACAACATCTCCAATGCAAAAGGAGGAAGGATGGAGGTGTACATGATGTTTGAGGGTAGGAAAATGAGGAAGATTAATCCAACGGCTTTTATTCTCAGTGAATTATAAAGGATATTAACTAAGAGTAGGGGTGAAAAAGTCCTCTCGAAAAGTGGGAAGGTGAGTTTGCCAAGGAGACACAGTAGAAATACAAAGCAATATTGAGTGCCTTAGTCCATTCGGGCTGCTATAGGAAAATACCACAAACTGGGTGGCTCATAAACAGAAATTTATTTCTCATACTTCTGGGGCCTGGCAAGACCAAGAGCAAGGCACTGGGAAATTCGGTGTCTGGTGAGGGCCCACTTCCTCATTAATTCATGACTGTCTTCTTCTAACTATAACCTCACATGGTAGAAGAGGCAAGGAATCTCTTGAGTCTCTTATATAAGGAAACTAATCTTATTCATGAGGGCTCCACCCCAACAACCTAATCACCTCCCAAAGGCCCCACTTCCTAGTACCATCACCTTGGGCGTAAGGATTTCAACATGTGAATTTGTGGGAAACAAACATTCAGACTATAGTAGTTCCCATTTGAAGACTGTGATCATGGATTTAAAGTCAAGTCAATCAATCCATTGATGTGATTTTTTTCAGTTATCATTCACCTGCTCAAGTACAAGCATACAGAAAGAAAAGGAAAAGTTCAACCAGAGGAGGATTTTGCCAGGCAGATAAAAAGGGCTGACATGCATTATCTAGGTTATAATTAATACTTATGCCAAATCAAAATAGTTCAAAATGCAAACTATGAAGTATCTAGCAAATCTAAGTGTTATGCTAAGG